GTATAAAATAGTGCTTTGTAAATGTTAGCTGTGTGTAAACTTAACCACAAAAATCAAACAGACCCTTGCCCTAGTCTTTAAGACAGTTTTTTTCCTGCTTGGATCTAAGGTAAACAACAGAATCCATGATATGAAAAATAACTAAATCTTTGATATTAAAGTCAACTGAATGAAGCCTAGAAATTCCTTTGATTGACCAACACGCTCAGACGTTATTGCATTAACATAAAAGCTGATGCAAACCAGCAATCCTTCCCACCAGATTTCTGAGCAATTAGGAACCCCTCTAGGTTTCAAAGGCATTGCGCTGAGGCACAGCTTTAAAAAAAAACATATGATATTGACCTTGCAAGGAACTCCACTTGATCAGACACACACGCCTCAGTGCCCCACTGAACTGTATGGGGCTCAGTACAGCAGTCCTGCCACGTGCAATACATTGCAGGAGCAGCATCTACTACCATAGTTAAATTAACTTTCCTACAAGGATGGGGATATGTTTTGATTGTGGGACCCCTTGGATTTGCTGGGTTGGGAGCAGATACGGGGACCTTCCGGAGCTGCTGTGAAAATGTACCTGTTTCCTCAGGCTTTTTCTATTTATGGCAGGTTTTTCTTCTCATGACCCAGTTGAAGAAAATTGTTGAGGCCCACGACCCAACATAATTTCACTAGAGTGTGGGCACCAAGATGGGGCTGAGGATGAGAGTTTGGGCTGTAGAGGGAAGCCTCGGCTTTGGGGTCACGGCTGGGGCAGGAGGGGTTTACCTTGAGCAGCTCCGGGTCAGCGGTGCAGCGGGGGCACTGAGGCAGCTTCCTGCCTCTCCTGGCACCACAGACCATGCTGCGCCCCAGAAGCAGCCAGCAGCAGGTTCCTTCTGTGGGAGTGCGGAGCTAGTGCTTGGGGTAGAGTCAGTGCACAGAGCTTTGTGTGCTCTCCCTCCCGTCCCTCCCCCCACCTAGCAGCCAGGCCTATTGCCAGCTGCTTCTGGGGCACAGCGCAATCTGTGGTGCCAGGACAGGCAGGTAGCTGCCTTAGCACCCCCACTGGTCACCCTGCAGCAATGAGACCCAGTGCCCCACCTTTCACAACCCAGTACTGAGTCATGATCCTAAGTCTGAAATCCACTGCTTTAGGTGACTGTCCAGCGCCCATTAGCTGGGCTCAGCCTGACTTTCTGCGTGGAGAGCTCAGAGGACCTGAAAGTGGGAGTGGGGGTCCGTGCAGGGTGGATGGCAGAGGAGGGAGTACATAGTTGCCATTATTATTCCTATTCCCCCAGCACCACCAGGCCCCATTGGATCTAGGCCAGGCCCCGTTTGCTGAGGGCTGGATGGCCCGGGCCAGCGCCCCTCCTGCCCAGCTGGAGAAACAAAGTTTCCCACAACTCCGGCCCGCCTGCTCCAAAGAGACACAGCCCTCCCGCAGGCAGGGCCCGTCCAGCCAAGCTCCGTCCTGCCGCATTTCCTCCGGTCCCTTAATGGTCTTCCAGGCTGGCTCGGCACTTTGTGCACGCTCCCTTGTGC